CCGACTGTATAAATATTTAAACTTTTATCATTTAGTAACTTCAATGTATAACACCAATGCACAACATAGTTAAAGAATAAAATTTTAATTAACAGCACAAGTGTGCTTAAAGGTCTTTTTAGTATAAAGGAGAAAAATCAATAAATATCAAATTAATTTTTTGTCAATCTTCTAGTATTGTTACAAATGCGCTGATAACTTGCCCTAAGTCAATATATAACAGATTTAAGACTACCACGAAAAAGACTTTCTTCACGGGACTTTTTCCACCATTTTTCATTCAATAAACAGTCTGGGTTATGCTTATTATCCTCTCTATATTCTTGAGGCAAAATGTAGGACTTTCTAACAGAAGAATTTATTCTATCCATTTCCGAGATATACATGGAATTTTTGCTGCAGTATTAATTAAAGTGTTTTTAAATGAAATCCCTTAATACGGAAGCCATTAATTCATTCAATGAACAATCTGTGGTATGTTTATGATCCTTCCCATATTTTCGTGGCCAACAGTACGGCTTTTCAATAGGAGAATTTATTATGTCCATTCCTGAGATATACATGTAATTATTTCAATGTGGTATATGGTGTATTTATGTGGTTTTGAACCAAGATCCCTTAATTTGGAAGCATACAAATGATCTTCCGGTCATTTTTGGTCTAGAGAAAAGTATCGTGTTGATTTCGATTTTTGAAAGTAGTGTTTATCGTTTGAGATACCTTTAAATAGGCTGCATAGGAAAACTTTCTGAAATATTTGTCACATAGTTTTACAGTTAAAAATTATGTTGTCTAGTGTGTCGGTTTGCAGCTGAATTTTAACTGGGTGTGGTTGGATTGAGACTTGAGTCACAGGATTATTTACAAACGCACAGACACCGCAAACAAACAATTTAACCCATACAATACTTTTATTTTTAAAAAATAATAATAAATTTGAAAAATTGGTACAAAAACGTAATTTGTTTAATAAAATAATGTAGTGTTATGGGTTGATTGTTGTCAGCTGGATTGTAACTGGGCGTTTTGGGTTGAGACTTGAAACACAGTTTAAGAACACACAGCTTTATTTACGTAAGCACAAAAAATTAAACACATACAATATTTAACACATTTAATGACGTATAATTAAAGATTCGTGGCAGGATTTCACTTCTAAGCCGAAAATCTGATTCCCAGATTTGCATGGGAGGCGTTAAATGTACTTCTCCGGATGAGATTCTGTAAGCCACTATTACACAGGGTTGCGTTGAAAATATTTCTTCTCGGGATGAGAGATTACAAATTAAACGCTTCTCAGCAGAAGCACGGGTTGCACTGTACTTCCTCTCGAATGAGAGTCTCGATCCCTACTGACCATTTATTCTGAACGCCACAGGGGGCGCTCTTGCAGTGCGTAGGAGAAAGCAAGGTTACAATTATTGAAAAAAAAAAAAGTAATTTATTTAATTTTAAATTTATTTAAACTTTGCAACTTAACTTTTTTTTTTTAACTTCTCATCTTTTTTTTTTATTTAATTAAAAAATATACCAGAAATGATAATTTCACTTCTTAGTTAATATTGTCTCATACTCATAGTACATAAAATATTATTTTCATTTATAAAAAAAGGCATGAACATTTACAATATTTGTAGAATAATTGAATTTACTTCAACTAGATTCATTATATTTGTTACTTACTTTTAAACAGAACTCGTAGATTATGCCATTGTCTATATCTAATGCTTTATGGGGACACTTTAATCCGTTATCAACTTAGACCAACAATTGATCAGGTACGGAAGCTTTCTGTCAATTCTCCTTTGTTGCTATTCGAACCAGTCCTTTAGTCAGTCTCCTTTAGTTCGTAAATCAAACGTGATTTCCATCAGGCCGCTTCTATACTGTGGATAATCATTAACTACTGTTAAATGATATATTAAATATTTTTATTAGGCTAACATTGTGTTGCTATTTTCTAATGAACTATTATTTTTGTAAATATAAAAACTTCCTACTTCATTTATTTCGATGTACTTATTATTTTATTTTTCATATAAATTAATATTTTTAAAATTAGGCCTGAATGGCTTCGGTATTCGTTTCGGGTTCGAATCCCGGTGGTATCATGGATGTTTGTAGTGGTTCGGAATCCATTTTAAACCGTAGGTTCCGGTCTAACATGATGTTGCGGCGAAAATAGGCGTCCGTAGCTAATCTTCAAGCTACACGCACCTCCTGGGTAGTGCTAAGTGAGTAACGTCGGTGCAGCACTTGCCTTAAGGCATCAAAGACAATTGTCTAAGTGTTTGCCAGCTGCATTAGACAAAAAAAAAATTTAATTAAATTATGTCATGCGATATTAACAACAAATTTATTTAAATGTACAGAATTAATTTATTTGGAAATTTTGAAATACAATTTACATTTATTTGAACGGGAATAAAATTTATATTTCTATAATGGATCATTTATTTATTATGGGGAGGAATTCAAAACACATTAATGCATTACTTTTGGGATGATGGCATACATTACTTTTTATGAAACTTTTAAAGAACTATTCATTGGCGATGAATAGTTTATAATCATTTCAAAGATATTTCTTCAAATGTACTTAAGTGTCGTTTATATAATAAAATGGAATTCAAATTCGCTCTTTCTTTGAGATTGATTTAAATTAATTAATTTAAGTGAAAATCCACCTTTAACTATTTCAAAAGTAATTTCACAATTCCAGATTAGATAATTGTATCAAAGATATCGAATAAAATGTAAAATCTGTTTCTAACTTTGAATTTGAATTAATTTTATTACTTAATACGTTACCAAAATAATTGTTGGTTACATTAAAAGCAGTTGGTTATAAAATGTAATAGATTCTGTTGAAATTTAATTTTACTTTTATGAGATAAAAAAATAACGCAACATTTAATGAAATATGAAAAAATTACGAAATAATTTTATATATCGTAACTTCTTTAATTTAGTTACGTTCAGTCAGTGTAAATCAATATTCTGTTCCAACATTTTTGTGTATTTTATATTCGCTATATTTACTATTACACCACTATTTAATTATATTCAGTAATGTTATCGAATATTGTTTTAGTTGTAATAATTCAATTATATCGACAAAACAAATTTTCTTACAATACGATATTAATTGGTAATTAAAATATGCTTTTTTATTTTATTACAAAAAAATTCAATTAGTGTATCATATCTGGGCAAATTACATTCATAACCAATTTAATTAATGAAATATACGTTAATAGAGGCGTAAAGGCAATAATTTCCGTAAATGAATGTACTTTTATAACTAGGGCTCAATAGCTTTTTTTATAATTTACTATTACTCTAATTTATTTGATTTAATATCTCAGTTTTATCAAGAATTTTTAGTACTATTTGTTTTCATGTTAATACAAGGTTATTTTTTGTTAAAGTAAAGAAGTTGAACAAATGAAACAACTTTTATATCTAATTAAACAAATACACTAATGAGCATATCATTTATAATGATAATAAATAATTTCTATTTTTTTAAATGTATAAATCATATAAAAAGCATTTATGATAGCTAAAATCATATACGTAAATTAGTATTAATTCTAACAAAATATGTTGAAAATTGATCATCAAACTGCCGGAATGTATATTTTATCAACTATATATTAATATATTTTTTAATTTTCGTGTCGATTTAGTAAGAAATTTAAATTTCTAAATGTTTTAAGTCTACTAAATAAAATATATATAATTTATATTTTTAATCAATAATCTATCAAATTAGTTAATTATATATTAAAACAAAAAAATTAAGAGTTAAAAAATTTGTAGCATAACTTAAATTTTATAGAAAGAATGTCTTCATTCGAAATATATCCTTTTTCGTGCCTTACTTAAATTGCTTGATGGATATAACGTTGTGCTTCCATAATAAGAGAGCCCGTTTCGAAATCCAAGAAATGATACCAAACTATAAGTCAGTATTAGAATGGTCAAGATAAATCCATCCTTTAAAGTCCTTCTGTTTGACTTGAAGATGAACCTCCTTTCTAGGAGTGTTAGTTTCCAATCGTAATAGCATTAAGGAGTTCAACCTACGTTTGGCCATCATTGATAAACCTCATTTCGTAATTCAACAAGCAATGCCGATCGGAAAGTCCTCTTGTTTATTCTTCGGATTGTCGTGGTGATTCTGTAGATTGGAAATGTTCAAGAAAGTCCATCTTCTTGTCTAAAATTAAGGAAGAACACCTTCCCTGGAATTGTTCGTTTCATATTAAGATGACATCAAGAAATTTAATCTGCATTTGCAATCCTTACGTTGCGATGAATCTGACAGTATGACATTGTCAAATAAACATGACATAATCATATGAGAGAAAAAGAAATTATTGCAACATCTGTTAACTTTTTGTTCATAAAAATATCGTAAAGAATAAGTATAAGAATACGTATAAGAATATCGTAATATCTTAAGCAAAAAAAAAAAAATACTTCCAATTTTTCACAGATCTTTTGAATCAAGTAATCGTATTATTTTGATTCTGTAAACTGGAAAGATTCAGGAAAAACCACCTTGATTCAAATTGTAGAAGAACACCTTCTTTGGAATTGTTCGTTTCATATTGTGAAGGCCTCAAGAAATCTAACTTGCATTTGTAATTCTTATATTGCGATGAATCTGATAGTATGACATTCCCAAATGAACAAGGCATTAACATCTGCTAAAGAAAATAAATGATTGCAACAAATGTTACATTGTTCTTTATAAAATAAAAATATCGTAATACCTTTAGCAAAAAAAAAAATACTTTCTAGCTTACTCAAACCTTTTAAATCAAGTAATCTTATTCTTGTGATTCTGTAGACTAAAGATCAATCTTTACGTTACGATGAAACTGAGAGTATGGCTTTGTCAAATGAACATGGCATTATCATGTGAGAAAAAAAATTAAATGATTGCAACATATGTTAAATTTTCTTTAATAATAACATAAACAACGGCCAACGGCCGTACCATGCTGAATATACCGGTTCTCGTTAGATCACCGAAGTTAAGCATCATTGGGCGCGGTCAGTACTTATGTTGCAATGGGTGGGTGACCACCTGGGAACATTAAATGCGTGCCGTTGGCAAATTTGGGACCTGAATGGCCGAGTGTCTAGCGTTGGGTGGGTCTGGCGCTCGGTGCCTGAATGGCCAGGTTTCGGGTTCGAATCCCGGCGGTGCCATGGATGTTTGTAGTGGTTCGGAATCCACTTTAAGCCGTAGGTCCCGGTCTTCTATGACTGTAAGAGCGTCACGGAGCAAAAGTCAGGCTTCTACCTACGGGTGCTCCATCACAACAGAAGCTGCTTCCTTCCCCTTCAATCATGAGTCCATATGGGCTTGTGGGCTTGGCCAGCCAAGTGGGATAAGAAACAACAACAACAACAACAAAAACAATAAAATCGTAATACCTTTAACAAAAAAATTCTTTCTAATTTTCACAGACCTTTTGAATCAAGTAATCTTATTCTTGTACAATTTTCTATTTGAATTTTTAAGATCCTAAGGCATTAAGCAATCAGAACTTCCAGATATCTATATATATGAATAATATCTATTTCATTTCGTTTTATCAAACTTCGTAGCAGCAAATGCAAAACAAACACCATCAACAAAATGCATTAAAAAGTTGCATTTCTGAAATATCAATTCAAGTTCAATTTCCTTCTTACATTTGGAAAATTTTTCGTGAAAAGATGCATTCAAAAAGAAAAAATTTTTTGCAAAAGACAAAAACACAAAATAAATTATAATTGAAAATGAAGAGGAAAAAAAAGAAAACGAAATGAAATAAAAGAAAGCAAAATGATAAGGTTGGTGCATTCATCATTTCTATTTCATTTATTTTCCTTAATCTAAATTGTTTCGCTTCGTAAGTTTTTATCGAATATTTGAGATCGGCTTTTTGAGAGGAATGATTTTTGGACCAGTCCCAAATTCATAAATGCTATTAATTCTATCTGACTGCATCTGAGCTTGATAAATGCCATTGACAAAACTATATCTCTACACATCAATCAGATTTGCTTTTTTTAAAGTAAATTTGATTAAAATGCTTTATATTTCATTTTTTGCCATCTTTTGAATATTTTGCAGAGCCTGAAGTCATATTTCAAAGCAGCATTATATCATTTTGCGATCAAGTAAACAATGCAATAAATATGAAGATGCATATCTAAAGAAATATAAAAAAATAGATACTTTAATCTGAATAGTGAACAGACAGAACATTACTATAATTAATAAATATTATTTTTAAAAGCTGTTTATCACTAAGCAAGTAATTTATTTCATTTATATTTTATAATATGGTTAGAAATATTTTTTCATTAATATTTTAAATGGCTTAGAAAAATAATATATGGTGGCACTGTGTTTCTTACGAAATAATTCATTCATTCAGTCTTTCTTCCCTCCAATTAATGGAGATGCAAATGTAATTTACGAATTATTAACATCAATCCATGTAAAAATACTCAGATAGCATACTCGGAACATATTCCCATAACGTTTTATTTATTTTATGAGTTATCAATCTAACGAAATTATGTTCAGTAAAATTTGATGACACACTAATATTATTTAAATTTATTTACTAACATATTGAAAACATGTTCGCAATAAGTCAAACCATATTGAAAATTGCATGCAAAATATTTATAAAAAATTATTGTACTGTAAAAAAAAGGAGTTTTCTAAAAAATATGATAAAATCATGCCAGATCAATAAGACATAGGAAAGTGAAAACCCTTATATGACACAATTAGGGGGAGTTGTTCGTTCAAAATCACTGTGGTACAACCAACACAGACATTCCAAAAAATATTAGGATCAATTCAGCTTTTGGCATAGTAATATGTGGTGTGAAAGAGTAATAGAAAATGAGGTTATAAAATAGTGAACATATCAGTATTTTAGTTTAGAATCCTTCTTTAATAAGAATCTTTAAAAATATAGAATTCATAATAAGGTTTCGTGGAAGAAAGAATATTATCTTCAGGAAGATTAAAATCTTCCTTTAATCCTGGATCATTAATTTAGATATAAAAAAGCTTGTACGCTTTAAACGTATAACGCTTGAACGTTATAAAAAATAGATAAAAAAATGCTGAATCATTTTTTGTGAATGCTATGTTTGAAAAAATTATTTAAAATATATGATTCACTTCAAATTTTAAAAAAGTATTTCTTTTATGCCACATAAAATTCATTTTATTTTAAAAACAAATTCAAAATGAAATCGATGAAAATGTGCAAATGTGTATCCCTGAATTATTATTCTGTAAGTTTTATATCGCTTATTAATGGAAATGTCCACAAAATTAAAATTCCTTTTTTCGTCAATGTTTTCATTCATTACATTTTCGGAACAAAAATAAATTTAAAAAAAATGAAGCAATCATGTATGTCCACCAAAAAGATCTTTATTTTGAGAATAAAAAATTTATTCTAAAAGTAATTATAAAATTTCCTTTTTTAAGAAAGGAATCGAGTATTGATATATCAAGATGCAAATGTTTTCAATTAAAAAGAAATATATATATCCTCATCTAATACATATATTTTATTTAATTGTGTAATGCTTTTTAGCATTTTTAATGAACGACTCTTGTAATTTAGTATATAACTATTTATTCATATCCAGCAAACATAGCTATTGAAATAAAATATCATAAGAAAACAATAAAATTTTTACTACATTGCATTGCCAGTTTATTAAGTTTTGCTTTATCTACATAAGTGATTCTTCTTTATAAAATTATATTCAATTTTAAAAGCAGAGAAAAACAATTTATTTTGCATGTGGTAATATTTTTATCAAGAAAAACGGACGCCCATCTTATTTATTTCCTTTACTTTTATTACTGAATATTTATGTTTGTTTTCATTACATTTTATACGTATTTTCTACAGCTTAAGTATATTTATCTAGTAACTCCTTCTGCATTTGATATAATAAATCTCAAAAAGATGAATATAGCATGAGCCAAAATTTCATTTTCATAGATAGGCTACACAGAAAATGCATTCGTTACTAGCTGTTCCGCCCATTTCCTTAAAGGGCGGAAAATAAGAAACGCATTGAATAACATCTCTAACAC